ATAGATAGGATCTCCACCTGCCTCTCTTTCTTTCTGTAACAAATAAATAGCGAGTAAGTAAAACGGAAAAGGTCGCAAGTTTTACCCGCGACGCAAAAACCCTTGTCTCCTCTGTGATCGTGAGCTACGAGAGTCTGGTTTCCTAACAAGTGGTACTCAGAGCCTCGTTTAGCGATCCCGGCGAGCATGTCCGATCACGGAGAACAGCCGGACGCGGCTGCGGCGGCGGCCGCCGCGGCCCCCAACGCAGGCGGGGGCGGGCTGGTGCGCTCGGCGACTCCACCACGGGAGCGCAGCCGCGGGCGAAGCCGCGTGAGGCGGGAGCGGCAGGTGGTGATCCACCAGGCGGCGGCTATGGAGCATGCGCCGTTCGTGCCGGGAGCTGGCATTACGTTCCCGACCCTCACCTCGACCAACTACATCGAGTGGTCGCTGGTGATGAAGGTACACCTGCAGTCCTGGGGGCTCTGGGACGCGATCGAGGGCAACACGCAGCACGTACGCGACGACAAGTCCGCGCTCGGCGTCCTCCTTCGAGCCGTTCCGCCGGAGATGCTCGGCGTCCTCGTCGTCAAGGAGACGGCCAAGGCGGCCCGGGACACCATCAAGGTCATGCCGATGGGAGTGCACCGCGTGCGTGAGGCCACCTGGCAACGCCTACGCGTGGAATTCAAGCAGATCGCCTTCCACGACGGCGAGACCCTCGACGCCTTCGGCATGCGCATCACCAGCCTCGTCAACCAGCTGCGCGCGCTCGGCGATAACGTCGAGGAGGTACGCGTCGTGCAGAAGCTATTACGTGTTGTCCCTCCCCGATACGCGCAGATCGCAGTGGCGATCGAGACTCTTCTGGACCTGAGTACGGTCTCGGTCGAGGAGTTGATTGGGCGGCTGCGCACCGCCGAGGAGCATTGCGCGCCCGCGGCGACCCAGGGCAGCGGACAGCTCCTCCTCACCGAACAGCAGTGGGAGGCGCGCAAGAAGGGGCGCGAGTCTGGACAGGGCTCTGGCGGAGCCAACGACAACGGTGGCGGCGGCCGAGGAGGCGGCCGCGGCAGGAACCAGGGGCGGTGGCTCCGGTGGCCGCGGTGGCGGCCGTGACATGAGCAAGGTAAATTGCTACAACTGCAACCACATGGGGCAATTCTCGCACGACTGCACCGAGCCCCGGCGCGAGCGTAAGGAGCAGGTAAACCTCGCTGAGGGCGGAACGGAGGAGACCATGCTTCTCCTGGCGAGCCTGAGCGCGCTGACCTCGACCACGTAGGGAGCCGTGGAACACGTGATGCTGAACGAGGAGCGCTCCCTGGCACGCCCGGCCGTGGGTGATGGAGGTTGCGATTCCTCCTGGTTCCTGGACTCCGGCGCCAGCAACCACATGTCCGGGCGGCGGGAGATCTTCTCCGAGATGGACACTGGCGTGCACGGCTCTGTCAGGCTCGGCGACGGATCCGCGGTGCAGATCGAAGGGAGGGGAACGATCTTGTTCCAGAGTCTGAATAGTGAGCACTTGGTACTCTCTGAAGTGTACTACATTCCCCGTCTTTGCAGCAACATTGTGAGCTTGGGCCAGTTGGACGAGAACGCCTACAACACACACATCAGTCAGGGCATCCTTCAGCTGCGAGACCCGGGCGGGCGCCTGCTCGCACGCGTACGGCGCAACCATGGGCGTCTGTACGTGCTGAGCCTGAACGTGGCTCGTCCAGTCTGCCTCGCCGTTCACGGAGGCGAGGATGCGTGGCTCTGGCATGCGCGGTACGGCCATCTTGGCTTCCAGGCGCTCCGATCGCTCGCGCGCGAGGACATGGTCCATGGCCTGCCAGTCGTCGATCAGGTGGATCGACTCTGCGAGGCCTGTCTTGCCGGGAAGCACCGGCGAGCCCCGTTCCCTCGTCAGGCACTGAACCGCGCCGAGGACATACTCGAGCTCGTGCACGCGGATCTGTGCGGGCCGATCACACCGGCCATGCCAGGAGGGAAACAGTACTTCCTCCTTCTCGTCGACGACAAGAGCCGGTTCATGTGGTTGCGCCTGCCTACTACCAAAGACGAGGCAGAGACGGCGCTCCGGCAGTTCCAGGCGGCGGCAGAACGTGAGTCCGGTCGCCACCTGAAGACCCTGCGCATCGATCGCGGGGGTGAGTTCAACTCCTCGAGTCTTGGGGAGTTCTTCGCAGAGCTAGGCGTGCACCGGCAGCTCACCGCCCCTACACACCGCAACAGAACGGGGTGGTGGAGCGACGCAACCAGACGATCGTTGGCATGGCACGGTGTCTGCTCAAGGCGAGGGGCGTTCCTACGCGCTTCTGGGGAGAGGCCGTGACTACGGCGGTGTACCTGTTGAACCACGCAACGACGAAGAGCGTCTCCGGCATGACGACGTATGAAGCCTGGTGCGGCCGTTGACCCAGCGTGCAGCACCTTCGCACCTTCGGTTGTGTGGCTCACGTGAAGGTGACGCGCCCGAACGCGAAGAAGCTCGACGACCGCAGCGTGCCCATGGTCTTCCTCGGGTACGAGCCCGGATCGGCTGCATACCGCGTCTTCCACCCGCCGTCAGGGCGCGCCCACGTCTCCCGCGGCGTCGTGTTCGACGAAAACACGTCGTGGGATTGGGGCGCCACATCATCCGATCGTAATGAGGGGTTTGAATCCTTCACTATCGAGCTGGTGCCCGTGGCCACGACGAGCGTGCGCGTGGAGGCGGTGTCTTCCCTGATCGGGCGCCACACGGAGCCTGCGCCCGACGCCGTACCGTCCACGCTGCAGAGTGTGATCGCCACGCCCACTCCTACCTCCCCGGCGTACGGAACGCCGATCTCGACACTAACGGGCGTTGAATTCGTCTCACCGCCCACCGGCGCGTCGGAAGCGCCGGCCAGCGCGGAGGCGCCGCGCCGATACCGCACCCTCGAGAACATGCGGGACACGACAGAGGAGGTGGAGGCTGTCTACAGCGACAGCGACCTGTGCCTACTCGCGGGCGAGGAGCCGGCATCGTTCACGGAGGCGGAGAGGGAGCAAGGGTGGCGCGCAGCAATGGACGAAGAGATGCAGAGCATAATCGCCAACAACACCTAGGAGCTTGGCGAGCTCCCACCTGGTCATCGTCCGATCGGCCTGAAATGGGTCTACAAACTGAAGAAGGACGCTCGTGGCGCCGTCATGAAGCACAAGGCGCGCTTAGTGGCAAAAGGCTACGTCCAGCGGCAGGGCATCGATTTTGAGGAGGTTTTCGCACTGGTCGCGAGAATGGACTCGGTGCGCATGCTCGTCGCACTCGCGGCGCACCATGGCTGGCAGGTTCATCATATGGACGTCAAGTCCGCATTCCTGAACGGGGACCTGCTCGAGGAAGTCTACGTGCAGCAGCCGCCTGGGTACGCTGTGGCCGGCCAGGAGGGCAAAGTGTTGCGCCTCCGCAAGGCACTGTATGGGCTCCGCCAGGCGCCGAGGGCCTGGAACGCAAAGCTGGACGAGAGCCTCTGCGAGCTGGGCTTCGAGCGCTGCCCGTCGGAGCACGCGGTGTACCGACGCGGCACAGGCGGCTCTCTCCTCATCGTCAGAGTCTACGTAGATGACCTCATCATCACCGGCGCGGCCAGATCGGAGATCGACGCCTTCAAACAGCAAATGACCAGGCTGTTCCGCATGAGCGATTTGGGCAAGCTCAACTACTACCTCGGGATCGAGGTGAGCCACGAGCGCGACCGAATCGTGCTCGGACAAGCAGCCTACGCCAAGCGGCTGCTGGAGCGTGCAGGCATGGAGCATTGCAACCCTGGCAACACTCCTATGGAGGCTCGGCTCAAACTGAGCAAGGAGAGCGCTGCGGCCCCGGTGTACAAGACGAAGTACCGTAGCATCATCAGCGGGCTGCGGTATCTGGTACACACGAGACCCGACATTTCATTTGCAGTCGGGTACTTGAGCAGATTCATGGAGAAGCCCGCCTCCGACCACTACGCCGCTGTGAAGCACCTCTTGCGGTACGTGGCGGGGACGCGGGATCACGGCTGCGCATATGAGCGCGTCGAAGGAGAGCTGCGGCTAACCGGCTACAGCGACTCGGATCACGCCGGGGACACGGACGACAGGAAGAGCACGACGGGGGTGATCTTTTTCCTCGGCAAGAGCCCGGTGAGCTGGCAGTCTCAGAAGCGAAGGGTGATGGCGATCTCCTCGTGTGAGGCCGAGTACATGGCTGCCACCACAGCGGCCTGCCAAGGCATTTGGCTGGCACGGCTCCTTGGCGAGATGCTGAACAAGGAAGTAACACCGCCAATGCTCCTCGTCGACAACAAGTCGGCGATCTCTCTCGTGAAGAACCCTGTCTTCCACGATCGCAGCAAACACATTGAGATCAGGTACCACTTCATTCGCGAGTGCGTGGAACAAGGACGGATCCTCATCGACTACATCAGGACAAGTGATCAACTGGCTAATGCCCTGACAAAGGCACTTGGACGTCTCATCTTCTAGGGACTGAAGAAGAGGATCGGCATGGTTGAAATAAGTCACCAACATCAAGATTAGGGGGTGATTTGTTAGCTAATCTAGATGTTGGTTTTTAGGGTTTTAGTCTAGTTTTATTTTCTGTCAAGATAAACGGACTGCATGAGCCGCAACATGTGCGTGCGATGCAAGTAGCTAGCTTGGGCGGGCTGGACGTGGTCACCGCGGCCCGGCAGCCTCGCAGGTGGACTAGGAGGCACGATCAGCGCTCGTGGGATGGCGCGAGCACGGCGGGTCGTGGCGCATAGATAGGATCTCCACCTGCCTCTCTTTCTTTCTGTAACAAATAAATAGCGAGTAAGTAAAACGGAAAAGGTCGCAAGTTTTGCACGCGACACAAAAACCCTTGTCTCCTCTGTGATCGTGAGCTGCGAGAGTCTGGTTTCCTAACACACGACAAGATTCGAGACACAGCTAACGAAATGTAGCTAAATGATATATGTTCCAGGATAAAAACGTGTGCCTAGCAAGCCACGGGGTAATCAGGTCATGTGCGGAAGAGTTTGGACTCGTAGCTTGCTTGATGCCAGCATTCTGCATTGATCATTTAGCTCGTCGCTGCAAAACCGGGTCTCCAACTTTTCCAGAGAAGGCGGGAGGCCCTTTTCTGGAAGCCTCGAGATTCTCGGACATCTGCTGATCACCAACCTCTTGAGGGAAGGATGGCTGTGTAGCCCCGCAGGAAGATCTTCGAGATATGGTAGAATAGAGAAATCAAGATCTTCCAGGGAACTGAGGAGCAGAAGTTCACTTTCTTGCTCTTCCGTCAGTCTCTCCGCTTTACTTAGGACAATACATAGGCGTTTGAGTGATGCGCGTTGCTTGCGGAAGAACGATGTGGTAAGGGCATTGAAGTCATCGATTCTAAGACCTTCCAGTCTAGGGCATTGTTCATAACCCTGCTGCCCTGACAACAGCTCCAATGCATTGCATATTGTCAATCGCCTCAGGCTGCTGAGGGATTCAAGGCCCTCTAGCACCTTGAGCGAACCACAGGTCCAAGTACTCAACTCTTGCACTGCCGTGCAGGTATGCAGCTCTAGAGATTTCAAAAATTGGCTGTTAGATAGATCGAAATTTCTGAGGGATTGCAAATTATGCAAGCCCTTGACTTCCCCGATCAAACAACAGTCAACAACATCCACCCTTTCCAGTGCCGTGCAGTAATGCAGATCTAGAGATTCCAAGCAGCCGCAGAATAATAAATCCAATTCCCTTAGGGCCGGCGCACCTTGCAGCATCAGAGACAGAGACTCCCATGCTATTCCACATGAATATATATAGAGATATTCCAGAGATGGGAAGACATTGTAATTTGCAGCTGCCAAATCTTCATTGCCATTCTCCGGTGGAACATCTAACATGCAAAGCCGAGGGCAGTCACTTATTTTCAACTTCTTTAAGGACACAAGTTACCTTAATCCATTGAATGGAATAGACGTCAGATTCCGACAATAACTTACTGTCAAGTGTGTCAATAACCTTAGGTTATGGAATGCCAAAATCCCATCATCTAACATGAACAACTCATCAGAAATCTCGTGATAAAAACCTTGGTTATAACTATGCTTATCAAAATAACCCTCATCAGGATCCTTGCCGATGGTCAATGTTTGGCACGACAATGCTTGTATATCTCGAAATGTCAGAACTCCGTGCATGGAAATTCTAGAAACAGAACTCGAAGGTGGTACAGGATGTGGTAGACGCAAATGAGGACAATCACGGATAGTTAGTTCACACAGATAGGGCAACCATGATTCCTGGTCAATTTCAAATTTATCACCGTTTCCAAACAGATCAAACACCTGCAGTGCAGGGCACTCCTTAATCTTCAGAACCCTTAAACGGGAGTTCAAGCCTCTCATCGAAATGCAGGAGCATGACTCCAACTTTGGCATTTTAACTAACACGAGCTGCTTCAATGAAGGAACAGATACTTCTATTACTTCTGGCATGTCGCTTAACGTCAACTTTGCAAGAAACGGAAGCCTTTCCAGTGATGGGAGCATCCGCCATTCTCCACAGTCCTCCAAGTGAAGAGCTTTCAAGGAGGTAACTGACATATTGCTGGCAAACCAACTTGGAGAGGCAGCGCCGTCGTACCCAGATATCCGTAGATTCTTTAGGTTATTGTGTAGTTCAAGAAATTCAAGCGCCTCTGTTGGCAAACTCTTCTCCATTTCTCTTCTGCTAGAAGGTTCAGAGCCTGGATAAGCTGAGAAACCTTTCCAAGACAAGTGCAGATTTCCCATCGATTGTTTGTCTCCCAGTCCAGCCCCAGTTGCAGTAGCATCAGCTATGCTGCTACAAGGAAAACAACGGTGGACTGGTTATCAGAACCAGAATAGGATTACAAAGCAGATGTATAGAAACGGTTATTAAGAATAAAAAATATGCATGGTTAGAGAACCAAGTAAAAATCCTGCATTCATGAAACAAACTATGTCCTAAAGCAATTCTAAATTGAGACCTTGTTCTATTTGGATGAGAAGAGAGTTGTTTATAAAAATTCAAAAGAACTCAACTGAACCATATAAACCTACACAAGAAGTGTGGTGACATTTTGGTCATTAAATACAGTAAGCCAGTAATTTTTCCACACAGCTCATAAAAATGGATCTGCAAAAATGCACCAGTACAAAGGGGTAAAAAGACATACGTGCTGGGGTAGCTCAGAAAGAAATGTATGCTGTTTTGGGATTTACATCGTACTTTGAAGGGTTTGCCAGCATCTGATGACTTGAACTCTTCATAGGATTACTCAAGACTCCCGTCGTCATGTTCATAGTGCTGCATCGAATTATCTCGTGACTGGACTTACTTTCTGCCTCCAGTACATCAGCATCATCCCTTGATGTCTCTCCAAATCGTGCTGCCTTATGTATGCCTTCAGACTCATGTGAAGTAACTGTGCCAAAAGAAGAGAGGCGTTACCATTGTCCTACACTCCTAAACTACAAAAGTATGCTGATCTGCATATGTGAATGATTAAGCATACTACATGCTGGGAAATTTTACTATGAATATTGAATTTGTTGAGGGGCGATAAACACCATCGTAGAATTATAAGTTTTGGGGAAACTAGTCACTAAATTGAACTTCCAAATATAAAAACTGGTGACTAAAGTGCTGTAAACAACTTCATCCTAAAACCAATTGGGATACTTCCTCGAAAAGCCTATGGTAGGAACTTTTTTGAACAAATATTTGTAATTTTAACCATGGTTGAACCACTTAGACCATGCTTGGACTGACAAAATGGTGATCCACATTGACTGGTTCACTGGCTGGTCCAATTAGAACCATGATAGGAAGATCTAGTACAATGTTTCTTGTAAAAAAAAATCTAAACATGTCTTCTATGTTCTAGACAAGATTGTACATGTTTAGGTAAAAAGAAATCATGCCCCAGTTAAAAATAAAATATTTGAGTGCATTTGTTTTGACTGATGCAGAAATCTAGTAATATATCATCTACTTTTTAGATCTCAAAGTGTTATCATACAATTCGAAAGAACTAAACTGAAGGATAATTAATTGTTCCAACATTAGCCAAAGAAGCGCTGGAGCGTCAAAAGGCATAAACCTGTAATACATTTAGGGGTTTGACATCAATAAGATGCATAGTTTAATTTGTTAACAACATTCGGGTAAAGATAACATTTGTAATAGCGCTAACCTGAACAAGGCCCCAAGGTCAGGCTTCTCTTGGCAGGAAGGACGTGTTCTCCATCGTTATAAGACTGCCAAGAAATAAAATGTATCATTACATATAAAACTGTTGAGGAGACTAAATGACATATCGTGATAATAAAGCATTTTGGCTTCAACCACACAAACAGAGACCCATTGAAAATCTTACATAAGCTGGCAACAGAAACTTTAATTCTGTTATGCTTAATGTGCACGGTCGGCAAACCTGTTAGGTTATCTTGTTGGAGTCATATATGAATTGGTATCAGAGCAAGGTTCAAAGAGTTTAAGCCGCTTTTGCCTCGGGGTGACAACCCTACTAGCGCCTCGGGGCAGACTATAGAGTCGCTGAGTGATGTAGCGAGGAGGATCTAGTGATCGGCATTTGGTGGAGCAGCATGGAGGAAGACGACAGGCTGTTATCGGCAAGGTGATGGGAGATGGTCATTGATGGGAGTGGTGGTGCCGAGGTGCGGTGCCGGAAGATATCTTCAAGATCGTCGTCCAGGGTAGTCAAGAAGTCGTGCAAGTTAGCACATCTCGGTCATCATCCTGTCAGTGAGTAGCCACCGTCATGTCCATGTGCTCGTCTCTGTGAGGACCAGTTGAAGATGAAGTGTGTCATGTTCGAACACTGTCCACTGTGGTGCAGCACCGAGGGCGCCGTAGACGTGAAGCAGAGATCAAGCTCAAGCGTGTATTGGGAGGAGAACCAGTGAAGGCGAGCCTCTTCAGTGAGGACATGTATCTACATGAAACTATGTGTGGATAGTGTAGTCCACAAGGTAGCCGACATGTATTGCGCTGGGTGTGAACAATGTAATCCACATGGCAGCGTGACTGGAAGTCTGGATCATACGTTGAGATGGATCGTCAAGTTATGGATCTATAACGAGCCAATATCCATAGGAGTACAAGGAGATGAGAAGAAAAGAAATAAAAAGAAGGGACACGACAAGGGCCCTTGGCGACAAAAGTTTTCGGCATGTGCGTTCGTGCGTTTCTATGTGATCGGCCCTTTGGTGAAATTTCAACAAAACCATCCACGGAAAAATATCGTAATATGTCACTCTCTTTTTCTCTTGATTAGTGAAAGCACTTCTAAGAGCTTAATTTCGCTTACATACACATGGAAGCTAACCCTCATAGCAAAATGAAAGGACAAAGGATGTTAAAGTGTTGCTCTTCTGGATATCTTAAGGTTTTGCTAGCAAGTTTAAGGCAGAACTCACCTCAGAGCTCCCGTCTCCAGATAACTTGAATGTACTTTGACACAGCTCATTGGAAGCCTTTTCTCCCTGTTGACAACAAAAGGCACTTCACATCATCCATCAGTTAAGAACAATAAAAGCGGAAATGGAGATATACACCAGATCACAAAATGAGGTTCTTGGGAGGATGGCATGTGCCATGACCAAACTTACTTGCTCTACCGTCAAACTCACTGCAGTTTTGATGGACCAGTCCATACTTTTTTTTTTCAGCAAGCCTGTCAATTATAAGTTGTATAGGTGGCCTCTTTCCTGGGTTAAACTCAGTGCACTCTGTCCCAAGCTTAACGCACACTTTTACTTGCTCCAACTGTGAGTGTTCTTTCGATCTCTCCAACCTATTCCTCCAAATTTCAATTACCTGCAGAATCACAACCGTGGGTTACGAAAAAGGAGGAACATATTTCGGAGGAATTAAAGCATGTGCCACTTAAAAGCACTAAATATGATGTCAATGTGCAATATCACACTAGTAGAAAAAGGGCCTATTGTCCCGGTTGGTGAGGGCCTTTAGTCCCGGTTCTTATACGAACCGGGACTAAAGGCCCTCCACGTGGCCGCTGCCTGGAGGTCCATCTTTAGTCCCGATTGGTACACCAACCAGTACTAAAGGAAATTTTATGAATTTTTTATGAATTTTTTTTTGAAATTTTTTCTTGATTTTGAAATTTCTGAATTATTTTAACCTCTAATCTCTAATCACCCCTCATCACTGCTCAATTTAACCTCTAATCTCTAATCACCCCTCATCATTCCAAATCATCTAACTTTTCGGACGGTTACCCATCCTCTCACTACTCCAGCCTGAGCACGCTTAACTTCTGGGTTCTATCCTCCCTCCTTTCCAAGTCTGCACTTGTTGTTTTCCTGACAATAGTAAGATGTCAATCCTATTAACCCTCAGGAATTTAGCTTGAGCATGAAGTCACACATTTCACTGTTTGAGTTTCACAAAAAACAATAATTATTTAGTAACACTAATATTTCTTCAATAAGTAGTTTGACCACAGTTTGACCAGATTTGACCAAAATTCAAAAAAACTGAAATAATTATTTAGTAACACTAATATTCTTGAATAATTATTTAGTAACACTAATACTTCTTGAATAAGTAGTTTGACCACAGTTTGACCAGATTTGACCAAAATTCAGAAAAACTGAAATAATTATTTAGTAACAGTAATATTTTTGAATAATTATTTAGTAACACTAATACTTCTTGAATAAGTAGTTTGACCATAGTTTGACTACAATTTGACCATACTTTGACCAGAATTCAAAAAAACTGAAATAATTATTTAGTAACACTAATATTCTTGAATAATTATTTAGTAGCACTAATACTTCTTGAATAAGTAGTTTGACCATAGTTTGACCAGATTTAACGAAAATTCAACAAAAACTGAAATTTGAGCATAACTTTTTTTCCTTTTAGAATTTGAGGATTCTAAAAATTTGCAAACAGGCCATAGGCCGTCAAAATCAGATGCGGATTTTCGTGCTGAACATTTTGATATATTATACGTTTTTCTGACATCGTATGCAAAAGTTATAGCCGTTTTATATTTTTCCTACATTTTTTGCAAAATATGTCCAAATTAAGTTTTTAAATTTTCCTAACTAGTACATGTAGTAACAAAACTACATCTAGAAGGATTTTAATTTTTGAAGTTTTTATCATTTTCTTTTGCTTTTTACAAACCTAAAAAGGTGATCCACATGGGGGATAGAGTTTGAAAACGGGACCTTTTGTACCGGTTCATGCCACGAACCGGTACTAACGCCTCAAACCCCATTAGTATCGGTTGGTGGCCCGAACCGGGACTAAAGGTCTAACCTTTAGTACCGGTTGGTGCCACGAACCGGCACTAATGGGCATCGCACCCTTTAGTCCCGGTTTGTGGCACCAACTGGGACTAAAGGTCTCATTTGAACTGGGACTAATGCATGTACGGTGCCTTAGCCGCTCGGACCGGGACTAATGCTCATATTAGTCCCGGTTCGTAATGCAACCGGGATTAATGCTCTTTTCTGACCGAACCAAAGCCCTGTTTTCTACTAGTGTCACATTAATACAGGCAACAAACAAGCACACACAAAAAAAAACGCCAAAAGTTAGAAGTGTGTCACCACAGCTTATAGTCAGATATAACTCAACAGCCATGAATAATACTCCCTTCGGTCCAAAATTGGAGGCAGTATCATTTTAAACATCCGACTAAAACAAGTTGGATTTTTACTCAAGTGATAACTTATATGATAATATGTAGTTTTCACTTCATTTATTAATAGTATTTCCACAAGAAAACATTGGACTATTAATAATGCTATTTCTCTCAAAGTCTACATTTTATTCCCATAGTGGCATGTGTGCTTTGAAGTGGTTTCACATCGACTGGCATGGAATGCAGTTCAATGCCCTGACAATAACCTCTGTGAAATCTCTTCAAACCGAACAGACCCTAATATAGTGTTATCCATCAACTCGGTTAAAATTGTTGTTTATTGTTTTGCAGCCAATATGTGCACTGCACTACTAAAAAATTGATATTATGCCATGACTAAAAAAATGTTATTGTGCAAAGTAAAAGTGTAACAGAAGAATTATTTCCAATATAACATTTCTTTATCTTAAGATCAAATAAATAGTTTCTTACATCCTCATCTTCGCTATGCCTCTTTCCTGTCACTATCTCCGTGATTATAACACCAAGACTATATATATCTGATTTCAACTTGATTTTTCCACTAAAAAATTCTGGTGCCATATATCCCCTGCATGCAAATTTTAATATGTTGATAGAACAATGGTAAAAGGCAATAAAATATAATGCACACCTGACCAAAAAAAGAAATAATTTTAAGAGGCTTAGCCAACTTACATTGTTCCAACCACTTTTGTAAGAATATCGCCACTTTGGTTATCACGAAAGCACCTCGAGACTCCAAAGTCAGCGATTTTTGGCACCATATTATTATCTAGTAGTATATTCGCGGGATTGAGATCTGAATGAACAATATTATTCTGGTGAAGATAATTTAAACCCTCACAGATTCCCTTAATAATTTGATAGCGCTTTCTCCATTCAAGTCCATGAGACGCCTCTATAAAAAGGCAGAGAGATTTAGTATTCAAGATATATTAAGTTCATACTGGCTGAAATGCTTGATATATATTTTTGACTATACGAAATTCTTGATATATAGGGTACATGAAAGGTAAGTAATATTTTTTGAAACTATAAGCTAAGTATGCTAAGCATGCGATGATTGAATCAAGCGATATTTAGAACATAGATAGAGATGGAAAGAAGAGTTGTCCTACCGCTGATATAAGCACCAAGATTACCATTAGGTACATACTCAAAGCAAAACAATCTTTGATGTACATCTGCCATGACAAAATTCCCGTTGTATGTCTCTGCAACCCCTTGTGTGTCAGCACAGTATCCAAGAAATCTTACTACATTTTGGTGCTTCACCTTGATCAGACATTTCACCTCCTGGAGGAATTCTTCGTCAATCATATACGAATTGTTCAGTCTCTTCACGGCAACCAATCCATTGCCGAGAATTCCCTGCATCACAAGATAGGGTGTCAGCAAGGACCGGAGCTTTAAGATGAGCTGCAGTGTAGAGAGTTAGCGCACCTTATAAACCACCGCGAACCCACCACTTCCGATTTTCAGATCATCAGAGAAACCTTTTGTGATGTCAAATAGAAGTGATAATGGAAGGGCTTTCGGACCTTCGCTTTCATCAGATAGCATGCGCTCAAGGTCACTTAGTGTAGCCATTTGCAATTAAACAGCACAGTACCTTTTGAAACAACAACACTAAACACATCAGTTGTTGACGATGCTACTAGGCCCAACCCCGCAGTTGCTCAAATATACTAATAATCGTGAAAAGGCAGGATTACAAAACGAAGGTCACTCCTTTGTTCTGCAGATAGAAAACCTTCCATTCAGACAGAGTAATTGTATTTCCTTTTTCTAGGGATGAAAGGGCACGGTCATTTAGTTCCTCAATCGTTAAACACTGGTCTAACCGAAAGGATGAAAGGGCGGAGACCAGCGCAGCGCAGTGGTGAGAAGAGGGGTCGTTGAGGTCTGAGGAGAAGAGAGACGGCCGCTACAATGGTATGGAATCGATTCGTATGAGCCTCCTGTCGAATAAAAAACGTATGAGTGAGGGGGCAGAGTCGTCACCTGGTCTAACCGAATGATTATAAATACCCTTTTAGCGTGGGGTCCATGACTACAAGATGAATTGCTGGAAGCCTGGAATCCGTCTGCATAATTTTTGGAGGCTGTTTCAAAGGGTGGGTGGAGACTTTCAAATTTAAAGGATGGGGCGCTTATCTATCATGGTGACCATCGTACCTCAACTCTGGGTGAAAACCCTTGGCCGTATCTTCGGTCTAGACTGCAGCGGTGCCTTGCATTGTCACCCTCTTGGGGGCGTCGTCGTGGAGCTCAGGTCCCCTTTGGTCACATCTCTTCGGCATCGACGAGCAAACCCGAATCCTAACTCAAAGCTCCTCTGGCTATGTCGTGTGGCAGCCCCGGCGGCATCCTATCATTTACACTAACGTCGGTGTCACCGATCTTGGTCCTCATTGTCGTCCGGCGGGACCGGCGCTCCAAGGCAGGGACCCCTTTCCGGCGACAACTTGGTGGATGTGTTCATTGAAGTCCAATGGTTTCTCCTGGAGCCGCGGTTTCTCTTCTAGTCGGTAGCCTCGGGTGTTTTCTTGGTGGGTTGTGGGTGCTCCTGTAATCTGGTTTTATCTTTGATATGCTTTGTAAGTGGATTCACTTATCACCTTGTATCGGTTCAGCCGCGTTGCTTTACATATAAAGCATGCCAAAAGACTTTCTTGATCATCAGTGGTGTAGTTAGGAACAAATATGACAAAGCACAATCCAAAATATAGGCTAGGATATGATAAATTGGTATCTTCTACTTTATGCAGAGTGGGTGTATATAATGATAGCCACTAGCGCGCTTGCGTGTGTGTGTTAGTGTTAGTTGTTGACTAAATACAAGGTTGGGTGAGTGGGCATCTGCAGAATGACAACAAACATGACATGGCTGGAAATGACATAGCACAAAATAAAAGAAGGGATGTCAAGACTTGTACATGAAGTCTTTTGCTCGGAGCAACTTGGTATTTTTGTATTATGTCGATGTATGAATCATGCATGATTGTGACAAATTAAGTAGTACATAACTATGATGCCATGCATGACCTTACTCACCACAATGGTGCATTTCTTAGCACGGCTTCAACTAGCCAAGGCCTGTGTTCAAAAAAAAAAAACTAGCCAAGGCCACAACTATTGTGTGTGTGTGTGTGTGTGTGTGTGTGTGCGCGCGCGCGCGCGTGCGCGCGCGCGTGCGTGCGTGCGTGCGTATGTGTCAAAAAATAAGGTACCAAGACTATATCAAGTATTCATGTCTTATAAGTTAACTGTAAATTCTTCATATTAGTCCATACATACAAATAAGAGCTATACTTTGGTTGAGCACAGAAATAATTACACATGATGAGTCAGCATCTACCATATTTCTAGCAACGACATGGGCAGCTTAGAATTCAATGCCGGCAAACAGAAAAGTGCCATGTCTTAATTCAATACCGACATTTTTTCTTTGCACACATGAAATTCCAATTTGATGATGATATGGCCCAAAATGATAAAACCCGAACTAAAAGAAGGGGCACCAGTAGATGCTACATCAAGTCTTTGAGTCGGGGTATCAAGGCTTTCTACTTTATGCAGCACACTCTGTATATAAAAATAAGAGCCACCTACTAGAAAACAAGGCTTAACAAGTGGGCATCTACACAATGAATTGTTCAAATTATGGAACAAATAACTAAAGAACTGTTGGCGGTTGTTCTTGTACAGATCGTGAAACGACACCTACTAGCAGTCGCTTTACGACAGATCACTTGGAAGTGTATGGTTGTCACAATGTGTAACTGACAGCTGGTATTAATTAGCGTCTATGATGAAATAATTTGTGCTGCATTGATGTTTAAATAAGGCCATGACATGTGGTAAGCTACCTGCTCTTGTCTTGATCTTAATTACACTCTGCAGACTGCAATGGGCTATATTTTGTAAAGGATGACAGTGAAAAGAACCCTTGGATATGCTTCGACCAATGGATGGAATGGCAATGCCTTATGCCAACCCCAAACTGCTTTTTTTTAAGGTACAGTTTATGATGGGAGGCATGTACTTGCTCAAAATTGTATAGTCTGATTACCTAAGTTCTATCGTCTCTAACCAACGAGCGCTCTGTGGAGCGGGTTGCTCGCAGGCGCGGGCAACAAGCCGTTGTACTCTACGACCTACCACCTCGCAGAGGGGCGGGCGCCAGAGCGAGCACGTGAACAAGTGCATGGAAATGTACCTACGTTGCACCATGCACAACATACCTTGGCATTGGCGACGGTGACTTCTGTCCGCCAAGTTTTGGTACAATTCCTCATTCCACACATCTCTCAATTGTGCCCCCTTCAAGGCTTTCTATGGCAAGGAGCCGCATCTGGGCGCTCTGGGATGCTACGCCTGCCCTGCTACCAGACGGCGAATAATGGGACTGGGCAGCACATGAAACATGCACAACGATGTTTCAAGAAACAAGGCAAGCGCAACCGCACGAAGGGTTCCTTCCAAGTGGGCGACACCTTAACTTAAGCCGCAACCTTACGCGCAGCACTCCGTCGCCCATAGCCACTGTGCCAAGCTCACCTACAAGTTCTTCGGGCCTTTCACTGTCGACAAGAAGATCAGCTCCCTCGCCTACAGGCTCGTTCTGTCGACGAACAACCGTATCCATCCGGTGTTTCACGTCTCGCAGCACAAGGCCTACATGCACCGGTGTTGGCTCAGCTGCGGCGCACCATCGACCACTCCGGCATGGACGCTACCCCGCCAACATTTTGGATCATCGCATGGTCAAGCGCGCAGGTTGACAACGACATTGTGCAACTCAAAGGTTCAATGGTTGACTTTCCCGAGGAGGCCACCACATGGGAAGACCACTCGACCAGTTCTTAGTTGTCGGTGTCCGTGGGTCGACATCTGGGAAGGAGCTCTTTCCGGAGAAGGGGTGGGAGCATGTCAGACCTGCACACCCAGGTGATACAGGTGGACAGTGAATTGGCCTGCTTGCCTGGCAGTGGGGCCAGCCGTGGGTGATTTGTATTGTATGTGTGGTGTGGTGCTCTGTAAGCTGAACCTGACGATCAGAACAGGCATGAGAGAAGTGAGTAGTTGATTCCCATCCCTTGTTCTCTCTGTTCCCATCTTCTTCTGCAAGTCTCACCTCCTGCTGTCCTCAACTACCACCCTTGAGCGATCCCGATCCCGATCCCCTTCTCGATTGGGTTCGTTACACCACGGCGAATGCTCCGGCCGCTCGCCTAGTCCAGTGTCCAGTCGAGGAGGCGACCGACGAGGAGAGGAAGCCGGTCATATATGGTAGCCACGGTGACCAAGAAACTGCAGGAGCCCCGACGGGACGTCCACGGCGAGCTGAGGTGGGTGTTCCCTTCTTCCTCCTCCATACATTCCCTCCTGCTACCACATCTATAGTTCTCACTCTCCGCCTCGCTCCCCAACTAGCAACATACCAGCCGTCGGACTCGAACCCGGCCCCGGCCCCGGGTCGTTGGACGCAGGGCCGACCCGCAAATCGGTTCCCACGGTTGTGATGCCGCCGGCGGCGGCAGAGTACTCGTCGATGAGAAAGCTGGGGAAGCTCTTCAAGCTCACCGAAGTGCACCTATGGTAATCAACCCCCTCCCCCTCGTCCCTCCCCGACTCGTTCAGGCTAGTGTTGTTTTTGGCTGAGCAGTTAGCTCAATGCAGGGATGAATTTTACGCCAAGACTCACGATTGCTGTGCCACAGAGACTACTGGTTGCACGGTAAGAAGATTCCACTTTCATCTTGCGATCATGACGTGGGTTGTGCTTAACCCGTTCGTGTGCTGACATTTCCTTTTTTTTTCGAGGGAAGTCTGCTGACATTTCCAAGAAATTGAAAACGCTCGCTTCTTCTGTTGCCCAATTGACAAAAAAAAGTGTTTTGTGCAGTGATATTTTTTATAAATGGCGCTGTTTATTAATTAAAAGATGGGGGCTTCTACGCGTCGTCCGACATATTTTTTTAAAAGATATGCCACCGCGTGAGCCGTTGGATGACGAGTTTCGCAGCCATCTGATCTTCTCATGTAGTCGCATTATTTTGCAACAACGAGCATGTTGCGCAAAGTCACTTTGCAACACAACCTTGGTTGCAATTCTTTGCAATAGGGACATTGTTGCAAAAAGCCCATTTGCAACATGGACGATGTTGTGAAGCCTGCGGATAACTTGCGAAGCCCTTTACAACAGGAACATTGTTGCAAAATCTCCTTTGCAACATAATCCTTGTTGCAAAAATTATCTTCGCTAGAGCCCCGCCACCATTGAAACCCTTGTTGCAATTGCAACAAGGGTCATGTTGCAAAACTGTGTTGGGATCAGCCTAAGATCATGATGCCATCCTTGTAGGGTAAAAGTATCCCTTGCCGTGTTCTCCAAGCGTGTACACACCTCCGTAAACAGGTCTCGATTCTTCACACGTTATAGAGACGTCCATAAACGGAGTGTACTGATACATCTGTAGATAACCGGCATAAGAGAAGTATTTTTATTGTTAAAAAAACTTTATCATTTCTACGTCTAGTTGATGTTGATGTAGATAACCTGTTTGAGATTACGTCTAGTTGAT